ATATAATATAAATATAGGAAGTTAACTTATGATTTCTGAGCAGAATCTCCTCACAATGGCCGAATACATACTTATTCACGAAGGCGATTGCAGAAGGACTCTTCAAAAACGAAAGTAGAGATTTACCAATTGGAATATTTCGACCTGCAATGGGTAACAATATAATTAATCACAAAAACTAATAGATTTTTTTTACCGAAGAGTTTATTAAATTCCATTCCTATATAAGGTATACAGTAACTATTTACCACCCTTTTGCACGATTAGTTTGCACACATAATGTGGCATATCTACGTGGTATACCTTAAGTATGCTAAAAGATTTCAAGAGATGATTCCTCACACAAATTCAAGACGAAAATTTTATATAACTGAATGTCTGAAACGGTTTAGTTTCAAAAATACATGATCAAACATAAAAAAAATTCTGTTTTTTTCAAAAATTTCAAAAATCATTCAGATTGTTTTAAAAAATTGTTGTATGTTTAACGGTGTGAAGTCTTATCTTTTCGGGCTATACATTATTTTTTTATTCAATCAAAGCTGAACTCAAGGATAAGCGAATATGCTTTTTTCCGAAAAAAAATTGATACGCTACTGTTTTTTTAAGTTTAACATTTTTTAATGATAATTAGAATAAATGAACAAAAAAAGTTTCTTACATATTTTCAACAGAAAAATCGAGGAAAAAACCGAGGAAAAAAATAAATTCAAATTTGTAGACTCCAAAATCATTTTATTTGATTATGATCTTATTATAATTTATTTGGTATTGATCTCAGGAACTTTTCTATCAAACTATCGAAAACATTAAAGAGACATTTTTTCTGCTAATTTCTGCCAATGCTTTTCTGTTGATATCCTATTTATCATAAAAAATTTTGAACATAAAGAAATTAATAGCATATCAATTTTTTTCATAAAAAAAGAGTATTCGCTTTATCTTTGTGTCTGCTTCTAATTGAATGAAAAAAAATGTATAAAAAGATCAGCTTCCTTTAAACACATATAAAGTTTCATCATGAAATAAGAATCCGAAAGATTTTCGAAATTTTTAAGAATAAACCTTTTTTTATTATTTTGATATCATTTACCTTTGAAATTAAACTGTTCGAAGACATGATCATATGAAATTTTTGTCTTGAGGTTTCCCTTCCTCGAGGTCAATTTTTTTGTGTGAGGAAACACTTCTTAAAATCTTTTAGTGTACTTAGGACACACCCTGTATAATGTGAAAGTTCAATTAATTTTATAAGTTTATAATTAAAAATAAATATTATATAAACAACCATGAAGTGCATGCATGCTTGCGTACGAGTACGTTTAATTAAGTTTAATACTTGTGCGTCTACGCAGACGAATAATTAAGATTCGATATTTAGTTATATCCAGCGCCAGTGAACCACTTATCGGCTGGATCGACAATATGTATGGGCCAACAGGTTTCGCAAGGAGCTTGCTACTTGGTGTCGTAAGATTTCAACATTGTAATGGCAATCATAAGGCGAATATAGTGCCTGTTGATTTTACCGTAAACGCTTTAATTGCTAGTGCGTGGGATGTCTACAGTCAACACGGGTACATAATTTATATTATTGTAACTATAAAAAAGAAAATATCAGGAATAACGAGTAATAAGGATTAATGTAATGTATTAAAAAAAGACAATTATATATATTATAGTATACATCAGGGTGTCCCATATGTCCCGAACCGATTGAATATCTCGAAAATATGCGAGAAAAATGTTTCAGATAAATGTTGCAATGGTGTATTTAATGATGTTAGCAATTTGACTTTGGATCACCAAGATCAGACCAAGGTTACATCGATTTTTTTTTAATGAGACACCCTTTTGATTCCAGAATCTAATAGCTGGTGTCAAGAGCTTTTCAAAACACTACAATAAAGTTAAAAATATTTTTCATAAAATATTTTTTGAATTATGAGGATTGAAAGTCACAGTACCGCCAGCATTAGCATTGTGCAAAATGTCCAACCGACGATTAAAACCTCTTGAATATTGTTTCTGATCATGTTTTGAATAATATTTGTCAAGATCAAGACCATTAGAGAGATTTTACCTTTTATTTTCATTTTTACGTAAAAAATGAATTTTTAATGCAAAAATGAAAATAAGAGGCATAACTTTCAATGGTCTTGATCTTGACAAATATTATCCAGGACATGATCCTAAACAACATTCAAGAGGTTTTAGCCGTCAATCGGACACTTTGAGTAATGCCGGTGATACTGCAAGCACATATTTCGAAAAGTAACTTTAATTCAATAAAAAGTAATTCAATAAAAACACTTTAGTGTTTTCGAAAGCTCTTAACATTGGATATTAGATTCTGGAATCAAAGTAAGATGTTCCGTTAAAGAAAATCGATATAACCTTGATCTGCCCTTGATGACACCACCCAAGATCAAACTGCTAATATCAATAAATACATTACTTCATATAATACAACATTGTCTGAAACATTTTTCTCAAAAGTGCATACTTTTCGAGATATTTAACCAGTTCGGGACATATAGGGCACTCCTATCTAATACTCTTCGACTATATAGATTGTCTCGAAATTTATGAATATCGCAGTAAAAAAGTTTTAAAAAAATTAAATGAACAAAGTTATTTGTGAATGTTCATTTTAAGAAATAGTTTATGAAATAAGGGTTTAAATTATTGCTTGAAATAAAAATTCACAAATAATCTTTTTACTTAATTTTTTTAAAATTTCCTTTTTGCGGTATTCCGCGAATTTCAGGATATCTTGTATAGAGTTTTTATTAGAGCAAAAAGTTATAATATTCTTATAAACTTCTTATTTTATTAAGATCTTGGTAGTCTAA